TTATTTGAGAAATAAGACTTTTGCCAATAAAAAGTTCTCTTTTGCGGGAAAAATAAGTGCACAACGGATAATTACATACGACATTGTCCAGGTGACGATAAGGCGCGCTTTTTTCTGTATCCTATAAGTGAACCACCACCAATGCCAACACTGCCACTCTTGAGGTGAATGTAGATTTCATTCTGCAGCTCCCGGAATTCCTCCATATCCTGGAAATCAGAAATTTTAAAATTATTGAAGACAAAAATTCAAAAAATTCAGTACTAACTTAAAAAATCAATTCTGCTTGAAATTTCTGAAGCAGAATATCCAAAATCAATTTTAAGTTTTAAATTATTAAATTTTCTAAATATTGAATTTACTTGATTTTTTAAGGAGGAGGACTTTGTTTGCTTTCAGAATCAGATATTAATGATAGCAAGCACTGTATTTACTTTTGGTACTGAATATTCAAAAAGTTTAGATATGCGAAATTTGAAATATAAAAGTACCAAACCAAATATATTAAGGTACCACACTATTATTGTCGGAAAAGAGGGAAAAACAGTGAGTTTTCCTGAAATAACATTTTTTTAATCAATCTAAGTCAGATAAATTTTTTTTGCTGCCAGATTTCCGTGTTCCGTCCCATTCGAAAAAATAATGAAATAAAATACGATCTGGGAACTCACCAGTTCCAGTTCGTGGCGTATCTCCGAGATCCTGTTGTAAAGTGAGGGAAGGAAAACGATGCATGCTACCAGTGCGCAGATGCTGAGGCCAACAGCCGAATAAGCGGCTAAATGTGCTGACATTTTAATGTTAGCCTAAAAGATTAGAAAGTAAAATTTATGAATTTTTCTCAAACTCTTAAGAAATCATTGACGATTCGTTTTCGGCTGATGAGGATGATAGCGATTTTTTATGTTTAAAATGTAATTCATTTTTTATATCATACTATCATCATTTTTAAATATTTTTATCGCAGACTTCTACTGCTGAATATTATACTAAAAAAAATTGGCCAGCTGAAGAAGAATGTTGCGGTCCATTAAGTCGCACGCGTCTCTAAAAGTTTTTTTTTTCAATAAATTAGCCACAAGCTAGGCGAAGCAAATCAAAAACTGCGTTTATGCTTGAACTATTCCAACAAATATAATCTGGAAGTTGTAGTGGAGGAAACATAGGGATGAGAAGGAAAGGAATGATAAAAGCGAGACGTAATAATAATACGTTTCGGTCCACTAAGTCATATACGTTTTAAATTAAACACCTATTTCCCGTTCCAACAAATCTATGTGGATCTACCTGAGGTTCCTACCCAAATTCATCCAGATAACCTTGCATTTGGGAATCAGCACTGCTGCATATAGGACAGGGAAGCATTCCAGTAACATCACTAACATGGGATCATTACACCGACTGTTTGGACAATCTTGATAAATCTTGATATATAAACGGCCCAAAACGTCACTAACATGGGATACTCGCAGCTATTCAGCGCCGTTTGTTATTCTTGGTATGTATTTTTGTGTACAATAATAGAAAAAAAGGATAAGGTAGCGAGAGCGGAGGAATGGGAGCAAACGCAAAAATTTATCCGAACCAATCTCTCCTTT